AAATAAATGCAGGAATAAGAGCGCTATATTTATTCACAAAACATTAAATTCTGAATGAAAATTTAAGCCCAACAAGGACGAAAGGTTTTTCATGTAATCAGGGTTGATTCAAAGGAACTTTAAGAAACTTAATTCTAAAGCTTTCCAGGCTTAGCGTGAAATTTGCTGTCTTGAAGGGAATAATGAAATTTTTAATCCTTGATTTTGTATAAATATTACAAAATTGGAATCCCTTGAACTTTAACAATTCATTTTCCAAACCAATATTCATAATTCCCAACTCTGACTGTAACTTTAAAACATAAAAAAATTAAATTTTTCCTCTGTTTTTAAATTATGATTCTGACGAGTATTCAACAAAAATTAATGTTTCAATGCTGCTGATTTCTCAGCCATAAACTCAATTAAATTAAAAATTGTGATGCATGCGAATTATTTTCGTTATTTTCTATCCATTTTTCATAAAAGTCGAGTGGAATTTTTTTTTTCTACGATATGAACTCGACGGAATTAATTTTTAATTAGGTGTAATGTAAAAATACTTTTTAATGCAGCAGCATGTGAGTTCATTGAGATTTTCTGAAATGTATACTACAAGTTTAAAGTTGTTTACAATTGTGAATCTGTTGAAAATGGCCTATAAAAGTCAGCATTTTTTTCATTAGCTTGTGTTGCAAAATTTTCTATGTTTGATCAGCTTGAAGGAAATATGATGGATTTTTGACGTGTAAGCATTGAGGCAGACGAAAACAAAATGTTAAATTTGATTTGTTTAAAATGTGATTTTGAAAAGCTTTTTATTAAATCGTGACTTTGTTCCTCCGTTCATCTTAAATATTCAGACTTGATTAGTAAACGAGTTCTTATAAAAAAAAGTCTTGAGTTGAATTTTTTCATTAAAAGCCCTAGAAACGACAGAATCCTTACAAAAACTAAAGTCATCTTTAACTTTTCCAACTTGATAATAAGTTTTTGACAATATAAAGCTAACAAATACATTTAATGAGCATGTGCGTGCTCCAGAAGCCATTCAATACTGATCTCTCACAACAACTTTTCCGGTCAAATCCATTTGTTCATTTCCCCCCAAAAGACAATTAAGAAATATCGACAGAAATGGTTTTCTTTCAAGTTCAGAACAGCTTAGAATGCTGACATCGGCAAAATTTTTGTGTAGCAAGAGAATGTGTACTTTATACTGTATTTAGGCAGGAAGGAAACAAGATTCTAGCGCGCTTGAGGAATATGAGGATTGCTTACTATGTAACTAGATAATTGTGTTATGAAAAGGTTAAGGCAAAGGTGGTCTTTGGTCGAGTGGTGAAACCACATACAAGAAATTTTCAACTTCAATCTTTTGTGAAGATTAAGGTTCGATTCCCACATTTTAAAGTTTGATTGAAACAACCTATCTTTGAAAACTTAATTAATAGCTTGAACAGGAAAGCTTCAATAGCTTGAAATAGTTGAAATTCCTACAAAATCACTCAAGTAGAAACTTGTAAATAAATCACATCAAATCAAAGTCGCATTTAAATCTTAAACTGCTTTTCCTTTAAATTCTGTCAATCTTCTGTACATTCGTGCATCATCACTGAATTCTTTCGCATTTCATACACAATGAACTACAATATAAGCTTCAATTCTTGCTGAATTCAAATCCTAAGATGTATTTTGAAGAGAAAATAAATCTGCAATTTTTATAAAGCGATTAAAGTAGAGACAAATTATATCATTGACTCCCTGAGGAATAAAGGCACCAACAACAGTCAAAGAATATTATCTCGCAGGCAGAATTTATTATCATTTATATTTATTCAATTCCATATTCTTCGAATAATAAGCTTTATAACAAGAGAAGAAGAAAAAAAATCAGATTTTCCCGCAAGTCAACCACTGACTTTGCAAAAGTTAAATTTTGTTATTTATAAGGAACAAAATAAGTACCAAAAAGTTTATTGTAGAACATTCATAAGAAATGCGAATTCTGCGAATCATTACTTAAATCTGGGATCAGGCATTTCCGAAACAAAAGTTTTTATAAAGTTCATAAAAATGCTATTATAATCTCTAATTTATATTACACGTAATTTAGCGGCTTAGGCTTATAAAAAAATATTCAGATCATAAAATTCTGCTTTTGAAGTCTATGAAAGATTTATAAAATATTAAAATTGGCTGTAAATTTCACCGCCTCACAGTTAACCGTTCAAACAAACAAAATTGGGTAAATATTGAAGGCAATTTTATGGATAAGTTACGACATTTTCACCCCCTTAGTGAGTGTCGTGTATAAATTAGTCTTTCATGAAACTGAAACGAGTGAAAACAGCTTTAATGGAATCAGAAACAAAAGAAGAACTTTATTAAGAATTGTTCTGTGATTTTTTCAACTATGCTTTGCTCTTTGTTGCCGGCAGCAGTTTGTAGTTTTCATGGAGGTTGAAGTTGGGTTTTCGAGGCATGCATATGTAGGCGAATCCAGCCAGTGGATGATTAAGACCACTGTGGTCGAGTGGCTTGGCAACAAAAATGAAATCTATAGAGTTTCTATGTTTGTGAGGAAGTGGGTTTGATTCCTACCAGAGGCCGATCTTTTAAATCTTTCGTGGATTGTTCAAGATATGACAAGGATTCATACAATGCTCAAAACATTACAATGTTCATATTTAGTTCTACGAAGTCAGGATATTTATTTTGGCTTTTTAAGAACTTTTCTCATTCTCAATCAACCCACTCATCATACAAAAAGCAATTTCAATCCCAGCATGTCTACAAATTGAAAACCCATGAATTCAATAATGAGAATCGGTTCAATGAATAAATAGCCAGCAAGCAGAAAATGTCGTTCTTTTCTTCTTAAAAAATGCTCTAAAAATAGAAAAAAAACCTAAAAATCAGTTTTTGACAACAACAATGGCAAAAAAGGCAGAAAAAACTTTCCTTTTCATGAAGAATGTTTATTTGATGCAAACTTAATTTTCGACATTTAAACTTTTTTCCTTCCTTCACATGCTCAGTGTCACTTTATCTAAGTACTTCTTCTTTGATGATTTTTTCATTCTTCTGTGTTTTCCTTTTCTTTTGTCATTTTGGGTTTAGCCTCGGGTGACCAATATTTTTCTTTCTTTTATATAAATATTTAATCAAGCCGTAACAGATCTTGAGTAGAAATATGACGACAGTGAATGTACATAGGACTTTTTTCCTGAACAGTTTTTCGATGTAATGATGAATGCGAGTTGGGTAGAGAAGGTTTGAATCTATGGACGAGTTTGTTTGAACTTTTAAATGACATTTATTTCTATTGACATGGGAATTGTGCAGTGGTTCTAATGATATGTTTTGCGGCACCCGAGTTTGTTGAATCAATAAGTTTCAATTAGTTTAAATGAGATTCTTGACTCTCTTGGATAGCACTAGTCAAATTCATCGTCAAGACTATATAACAATCCTCAGCAGTCACATAATCATTTATGAAAAAAGTTTGAGAATAACTGGATTCGACCAGCATTACTCCCTTAGCTTAGTTTCTAACTTTAATTGATATTGAACAATTTCCCATTAAATATTTCAAAGGGTTAAATTGAAACCTTCATGTTTTACCTCAATTTCATTTATTTACTTCCTTAAATCCTCAAAATTTCGTGCTCCATTTGCACGCCCCCGGACTCTCACGAAATAAAACTTTTCCACCTTTATTCTGAAACTTTTTTTTTCATGTTTTCTTTGACAAACTCAACTGTGAAATTTGAACTTTTATTCTTCATCATTGTTTGGTCACCCATAGAAACGAACCCCTTCCTTTCAACCTCTTTTTGCTCATTTCTATTAGCAATAATGAGAGATTGGAATCAGTAAGGAAAAGAAATCCTTTGATTTAATCTCAAATTTCCTCTCGCTTGATCTTGAACGAGAAGAAAAAAGTTTTATATTTCGCGATTTTTCGATCGTTAAAGGAATAACAATGTTGCCTATATAAGTTTTGAATATATAGTTCTCATGGTTCGTTGACTGTGAGGAGGATAGAATAATATTCAAAAAAATAAAGCATATTGTGGCTATAAAATAAAATCTAATCAATTTCATATTTATTCAACATCCTTCAGATGTTTTAGACTTGACATTGATTGACAAATAATTTACATAATTGAGTCACATTTTGTTAAATGACTGAGGAAAAAAATACGTGGAATTTTATTATGTAGCATTGTCAATGAGAATTTGAGAAAATAATGAACATCGATTCTTAGAAAAGAATTAAGCAGGAGATAGGAGCCAGGATATCTGAAATTGTTCATAAGAATGTTTTTTAAGTATGATGTAATCATTAGAGGTTATTAGGGTCGCCACTTGTTGAAATGTTGTCTACATGATGACACCAACTACACTGTTTACTTAGAATCAAGCTAGATTCGCCAAAAGTGATATCTACTTACCAATTCAAGGAGTTCTATGTAAACTGTATTATTGGCTACCACGTGAATGTATTGAATGTAGATTTCAATTTAAAAACCACTCCATGCAACACAAGAAGCTCAAATTCATCTAATTCAGTCATTAAAAGTAGAATAAAAATCACAAGAATATCAAATTTGACGAATTTGTTAACTAGTAATCGTACATTTCCTTTATTCACTCCAATTCTCTTTATTCACAATTTCTCTCGTCTCGTTTGCCAGCAATTGGAAAAAAATAAGAAATAAAAAATAAGAACAAGACAAAAAGAAGTTAAAAAGGCTTTTCCTACTACAGCATATACTTACGGTGAATAAAAATAAAAAATTGTATCTTTCGATCCTTCAAACTCGAGAGTTAGTTATTAAGTTGAAAAAAGGAGCAGAAATAAAGAAGGATCTGAGTATGAAAAGTTGAAGAATCATTTAAGATAAGGAAAGACAAAAACAAGTGAAAAGGAATAATAAAGTAAAAAGAAAAGGGAAGCAGTTGTGAAAGAAGGATAGAAAGCAGCATTAAAATAATGAAAAAGGTTCATTATACAATGGATGTGGAGAAGAATGAGAGTGATAATGAAACGCAAGAGGAACAACAGCATAAATTACCAATTCATCATCATCATCATCAGTTTCAGCATAGACATGAGCATCTCATAAAGGAAGATTCGTCGAAAGAAAATCTCTCAAAAGTCTTACGCAATATTGCTACAATCCGGAGACAGCAGCAAGAGACATCAGTAAAATCAGTACAGGGAGAAAGCTTTACATCATCCTCAGTGTCATCGACACAAAAAATGGTTACAACCATGCAAACAATCGAAACATCGTCATCGAAAAAGGAAACAACAGGTGGCACTGAATTATTCGATGATGTCGAAAATACGAACGAAGTAAAATCAATGATGGACTTGAGCGCATGTCCAATTGGAAGAACAATGTTTGCACAACAAAAGCAACAGCAGCAACAAAGCATTGCGTCATCATCAATGTCAACAATGTCGAGTACTGAGGCAGTGAAACGTACAAAAACATTGAGCTTCTTACATAATGAAGATATATTGAGCACCTTAGGGACACTTGCTTCCTCTACGATGCTGCTCCCAGCTCAGATTGAAATGGAAAAGTCACCAACGCAAACATCACTCTTCCGCTCAATGTCCTTTCAAGAGCGTCGTCAATATCAACAGCAAGTAAGCCTCAAGCGTGTTGAATCTGGAAAGGAATTGAAAGCGATTAGCGGAGTGGATAATTTCAATAATATGCGAAAGGTCACAATTTTGAGTCCCAAGCACTCGCTTCATGAGCTTAATGAGCGTATTAAACATCTACAGCAACAAATGTACGGATCGTCGGAATCCTCACTGTAAGTAAATGACAAAAAAAAAGCAGAGATAAGTTTAGGAATTATTTTTAAAGAAGAAAATTGAAATACGAGACACAAAAAATGTCTTTTTTTCTCTTCGTCAACATCTCATTCCCATCATTTCGTATATTTGCCCTTTTATTCGCATTACGTTTCTCTCTTGTTGCTTGCCTCTTTCAACAGTACGAGATATATACAGAACGTTACTCTTATTATTATTTTCCCTTAACTCATCCCTTTCGGAGAGTGAAATTTTGTCTTACAATCCCGAAAAGCACATCTTGGTATGGAGCTGATATTAATGTGACTAGATCTCGGCAGTAGGTTGCTGATTACTTGCACACATGAGTTAAAGACTAGATAAAGACGCTTGGTTTATGTTTTCATAATCTCAGCTCTGCATTGCTTAGTTGAGCTGATAAACGACAAGTTTTGACTCACATCTAAGGCTCGGGCTTAAAATATTTCATTTCGTTATTTTCCTCCTTATTGTCAATAGCGCGCTGATTTCTACGACGATAATAATTCTTACTCATTCGCTATATATGGAATGGAATTCGAAAAATTTCGCTTCTTGTAGATGAAAATAAAATATTTTGTTTGCCTCGTGATTAGATCGAGAATTTCCTTACTCACTTCGGATATTCCATATTTCAGTTGCCACGAATATGTATATACATAAGACATTTACTTTACTCCATTAAATTTCTGTTTGCAATAACATCAACAATCCTTTATTTTGTGAGCATTAAAGCAAAATGCGATTAAATTTCATATTAAAGTTTTTCTTTGTCGTTAGCAAAAACAGGTGCAAAAGTTTGCTTCTTCTTGCATCCATTATGTCATTCTTATGACAACTTTCAAAGTGGAAAGTTTTTTCAAGTTTAAGGCGATTATGAAATATTTTTCTCGTCGTTAGTGATGCTTGAGAACTACTGGAAGGTGTGAATTGCGTTTTTATTAAGAACAAATTATATGAAAAGGTTATTTTGTTGGAACTGGAGATTCTAGAGCTTATTTGCTTTAGTTAAAAATCATAAGAGTAGTTCCACAATTTCAAATTGAACGTTTAAGTTGGGAGGAGCTCCAGGTCCAAGAATTGATGAACTGCTGATCTTGGATCTTATTTCCCAATATTTATTATGTATTGCATCTTATTGGAGGACCTAAAATCAAGAGTTTGTTAAGCAAAGCATGAAAAACCAAATTCTAGACAGACCAAAAATCAAATTCATCAGCAAAACCACCAAAAGTGCGCTTCAAACATTCTCATTTCATTATTCCTTCCTCCTCACTTACTTTTTTTCGTTTCGCATGCAAGGAAGTTTTATTTCTAACGTCATACTGCGACATTAAGCTTTTCATTCTGTATACAACTTATTTCAGAAGCTTTCTACCATGCGAATTGAATGATAAAGCTCCAGGGATAACTTTTAAAAATGAAGAATAATGTTTTTGCGTGACATTACGTAATTTATGCATGTTTCTATCTGTATCTGTACCTGTGGAAAATTAGCAAAACAAATGAGTTGCAATAAAAAGGTAAAATGGGAAAATAAGAATAGAAAAAAAATGTAAAGAAATGAGACCCAAAAAATGAGGTCATATATAAGCCATTCAATAATGAAAAAAGTCTTTTTACTTAGCATGTTATGCTTATCTGCCTATATGTTTGTGCCTATGTTCTCATAATGAAAAAGAGGGATTACACGTGCAAAATTTTTCATTTCCCACAAGACTCTTCCATTTCTTTGTGCTGTGTTGGCTTTCATCCTAGATACAAAGTTTTTCAAACTGTAAATTTACCCTCAATTTTTTTCTCATTTAAATGTTTTCTTTGTAAACATTTTGTCTACTTTATTTACATTTACATTCATTTATTATTCCCTAAGAAGTCTCAATGAAGTCACAATGTCCTGTGGATATTTATAGTTGACGTAAAGCAATTGCTTCTTAGTTTAGTTGTTGAGCATGAGTATCTGGAGGAAAAAGCGGTCGATCAATATCTAAGCTCTATAATAGACTGATAGATAGCTTTAAAGGCCCAGCTAGGCTTAGAATTTTAAAACTTGCTTGACTTGTCACAAAAATATCTCAAATGCCAACAATATATGAGCTACCCTTTCCCATACAACTCCTGCAAAAGCATCTCATCTCAAAATGCCTTTCAATGCTCAATTCTCTTCAAATAGCTGTAAACTCATGACAATAAACACCTTACAGTAGCTTCACACTTTGATTTTCGTGAGAAATTTAAAATAAAATCATAAAAATTGTAATGTTCGTGGGTTATAATCTAAAATTCGTGCTCATCATCATTTAACGAGGCACATGCTCGAATATTGGATGTAAAAAGGATGAAAACTTTCATGCATCAGTTGCTAAAGTACAACCTACATCGCGAATTTCTTTTGCGATTTTTAACCTCAAATAAGTTGTTTATTTACAAGAATATTTTGCTGAGATCATTGGAATTGCAAATTACTTATCAAAAACAATTTCTGTTGCTAACGGTGGATACTAAGAACTTTATTTTTATGACGCCTACACTCAAATGTCATGCACAGTTATGTTGCGATAACTGTTATGATTACAAAACTGGCAAAGGAACTGTTACATTGTTTTTTTGGTAAAGAAAAATATTTTTAATGGAATAACTTGGATCAAGCTGTGGGTGCTTGGAGTCTATTTTTAAATGTTTTGTTAGAAAACAATGATTTAATAGGAAATAAGAAGCAATTTATTTCAAAATATAATCATTAAATATATGAACTTACAATATGACATAGAAGTACAAACTTGATGTCAATCCGTTCTTCAAAATTTATTCATATTTTCTCATCAAACCCGCAAAATTCTATAAATAATAGGAAACCGCAAAAGCAAAATGCGCTCTTCTCATAAACTTTATAAGATTATTTCCATCCCCAACCCAACAACAACAAAAATGTAATCCACAAGAAAATAAGCAGCACGAAATAAAAATTATGAACCTTATTTAATGAAAGCTATACAAACATGTAAATAAACTTAGCGATGTATCTTTCACACCAACATCATCATTGCCATACAGCCCCTACCCTTTCACGACTCGCTTACAATGTTGTTAATTAAAAATGAATAATTTGTGCGAAGATTTTTAGAATTTAATTTATAATGTGCTTATATGTGTAGCTGACATCTCGTTTATATTAATTTGATGCTCCTTAAACTTTATTTTTCACTTCCTCTGTTGTTGTTTATCAACCTCACCATCTCATTAGCATCATATTTCCTCAACAAAACTTTATCATGAACATTTTTTTTAAAGTGCTTCGTTTGCCTTTTTTTTTTATTCCCGTTTGGGGAAAGAAAAAAAAGTTTCTTGCCTTTTTTTTTGTATTTTATGGATTTAATTAGTAATTCAATTTACAATTTTTTTGTTGTTGGGGTCAATCATAAATGATGTTAAACTCTCATGCCTCTAAACCCTCTCCTTTTCAACATGACTAGCGCTTTTCAACTGTCTTCTGATATGACGTAATTTATGATCGACCCTGCCGCTTCTGAAGCTTAAAATTTGTGACCTGCGGCATCATTATATTTAAAATCAAGACCAAGAAAAAATTTGTGAAACTTTTTTTTCATCACCATAAATGATATGCTTACTTCTGAAAAGTTTACATCTCACACCTTTCAATTTTCATTAAAGCCTTTATTCACAACATCATATCATCATTTTAATGGCGGAGCTGCTACGTTGAGTCTTAAGCAACCATCATCATTAATTGAAATTTCTTTCCTCAACGTTCTTCTTTTTTTTCCATTTCTCATAAATTATTAAAACCCGTGTTGCTCAAAGCTTTAAAGGTGGAGCAAAGCATCAACCTTCTTCCGCTTATGTATGTTCTTAGAAGGAAGCTTGATGTCGATAGATAAAAGGATTCGGTAAGACATTTTGTCTTCATGACTAGTGAGCATAGCTCATTCAGCTCCTTATAGATTTATTTTATATAAAAAAATGCACATGCACGTCTGTGGTTTATGCTTAGATCAAAATGTCATGAGATTTTATGGTATGGCGTGGTATGAAATAAATAGTAAGCAAGATTCAGTTGATATTTAATTTTATAATTTTTAATTTATAAGATTTTTGTAAGTTTTGTCAAGTAACCTAGATATTGGGTATCTTGGTACAAGAAGAGAGAGGTCTGCTCATTTGCCCTTCTTTACAGTATCTCCTTAAAACCTATAAATTCATAAATATTCCAAAAGATCCATTAAACCATACATGAAAGCACCGAAAACGACAAAACTCAATCATCTTGAGAATAAAATGAAACTTCAGAAAAGTGGATACTAGGAATAGCTTATATGTCAAATGTATGATTGTCATGCAATTTTTATATTGTTAAAGAAAAGCTTTCGCTATACTTTACCGGGACATGCCTGACTGTCAAACCTGTCGAAATTAATTCCAGGTTAAATAATGTTGTGCTTAATAGTTCACAAATTATGGTTGGTCAAGCATACAATGTAGCCCGAATAACACAAGTCGGATAATCGAGATGAAATCCTACGCTAAGATCACGCGGTGACGACTTTATGACATATTTCCCGTCACACAAAAAGTTCGTCCAGAAATCGCCGTGACTTAGGATTTTGCCTTGATTATCCGACTTGTGCTACTCGGGTAGAAAACTTTCGAAATTTAGAATTGGGAGTAGAATTAGGTTAGTCTTGATTCTCGAGTATGTTACCAACTCCATTTATTAATGAATTTTTGAAAAATTGAAGAAAAAAACATTTTCTGTCGAGAACTTTTAAAATTTTCACACAAAAAGTTAAACATAAAATCTCAATAAAACTTTATAACTCTATAAAAATAAACAATCATCATATCCTTCCATCGATGCACATGAAATTTCTCAAAATGATGCCAATTTAAAGCTGAAAGTAAGTTTTCTGAATGAAATAAGAAAATTATTTTGTTCATTCCTTATTGCTACTTCCTTTATTTTATAA